TGTGACGGGCCACGCAAAACGAGTCCACGACGGGTTAAATGACTGGACTACGACAGGCCACGCATCCATGAGAGGACAGGCGTCACCAACATGGCCAAAGAATTGGAGGAGGGACGTGCCACGGGCCAGAAGAAAAACCACAACGGGCTAATGACTGGGCCACGACGGGACTTGCGATGGGTTATACGACGGGACGGGGGGACGATAAACATCTTGGGGCTTATACGACGGGATGGGCCATGTAGACACCTATGGGTTACACGACGGCACCCGCGACGAAGCTATTCCGAGACCTATGACGGGCCATACAAGACGAGTTCATGACGGAGATAGGCCACGCATCCGTGCAGCCGTCACCAACATGGGCCAAAGAATTGGAGGAGGGACGTGCCACGGGTAATGTGTGGGGGACTAAGACGGACTAATGACGGGGCCGCGACGAAACCTGCGACGGGCTTTACGACGGGACGGGGGAGGCGACAATACAGTTCGTGACAGTATGTGATATGTTGGGGCTTATACGACGGGATGGACGATATAAACCCTCGTGGGTTACACGACCGGCACCCGCGACGAAGCTATTGCGAGACTTATGATGGGCCACATAAGACGAGTTCACGACGGCTTAAGTGAATGGACCACGATGGAGGAGGGACGTATTACGGGCCATGTGGGGGACCACAACGGGCTAATGATTGGGCCACGACGGGACTTGCGACGGATTATACGACGGGCCGGGACGGGGGGACGATAAACATCTTGGGGCTGATACGACGGGATGGACAATATAAACACCTATGGAATATACGACGGTACGCACGACGAAGCCATTGGGACGGGCCACACAACGGGCCAATAACAGGCCACGACGGGATTGTGATGGGTTATACGATGGCATGGGGGGGGGCAACAACATGGTGCATGATAGGATATAGTATAGTGGGAGTTATACGATGGGATGGGCTATATACACACTCGTGGGTTATACGATGGTATTTACGACGAAATTATTGTTTGTGATGGGCCACGTAAGACGAGCCCACGACATGTCGAATGATTGGATTGCGATAGGACGAGTGATAGGTTATGATACATGGGATCTTAGTCTTAACGTGTTATAAAGTTATGATACGGGTTATATAATTATAAGGCGGATTAAGGTTACGATTATATAATAGATTATGGAAAGATTATAATGATATGATATATATCGATGGGATTATGTTAATATGATTTATGATGGGTATAATTTGGATAATATAATTTATGATAGGACACGATATACGATTATAACGAATTTATGGGTTATATGATGATATGGTTACTTAATTATTAAAATATATGATGGGAAATATGGGATATATGGTATATGATTTATAATGAATTTATGCTGAAATAATTATGATAATTGATTATGATTGATTTTTTTTTTAAATCTATATATGATTTTATTGAAATAAATACTAAATATATAATATTTATAATTATATTAAAAAATAATTTGTATATAAAAAATTAAATAATTCGAATGTATATAATGTTTTGTGCAAAATGTGTAGAGTTTTGTTGGTGTGTGGGATTGTGTTATAGTGATATTTTTTTATTTATATGTTTTATTTTTTATTATAATTGTATTTGTTTTATTATAATTAAAATGTATGTTTGGGCTTTGGTCTTTGAAAACTCGGTTTTTACGATATTGCGGAAAGAATATATGAAATTTTATGAGATTGTGTTTTTGTGGATATTTTGGTATTGGTTTATAATTTGTTTTTGATGAATTGGAATATATTGGATTTTTGTTTTATGATTGATTTTAAATGGAAATTTATTTTCTAATTTTTAAATCACCAATTTAAATCGAATATTCGGAGATTATATTATATATTTTTCGATGAATGCATATTATGTTTTTGTGTGATCTGATTGGACCGTCTTTAGTGACGTAATCCTTATTTTCTAATTGTATCTAAGAATACGAGCCCGACCTTTAGTGCATCTCGCGATTTATGTTTGGAGAACGGTTGCGGACGCTTTGGTCTTGATTCATGGGTTATTTTTGATGGGTTGGAAAATATTGGATTTTTTTTTTTTTTTTTCAGAATTGATTTGATTTTTTTTGACATCCGCCTTAACTTACCCCTAATTATTGGTTTGAATTAGTGTTTTATGAATTGAATTCCTGTATTAGATTAAAATTCAACAGGAAACTACCCCCTAACCTCCAAAACCAATCCAAACTAACAATTGGGAGATCGTGCCATGCACTTCGCGATGAGTGTATTATGTATCTGTGTCCATGGCTGGTTTTTAGTATGACCTTATTGGGCCGTCTTTAGCGACATAGGTTTTTTTTTCCAGACGTATCTGAAAATTATATATTTTCATACATAAAGAATTTTTAAATTCTTTAATTCATATATATTGATGCCTGAATTACAAAGAATGTCTTGCCGCCGCAATCTCTATAAAATTTCTTTTGTTCTTGATATACCCACCATGGCCTAGAGTTTAGCCCGTAAGAATTCGGCTCATACGATATTTCATTAAATTTATTAGGTGAAAATCCGTATCAGGCACGGAAAGTCAGGAGGAATCACCTGCAGTTTAGGAATCAGTCTAGGAATCACCTGCAGTCTTAAATATATGTTGGTTGCAGCTGCGCTATCCAAATTTGTTTTGGCTTGAGCTACATGATAACTCCGCCAACATGGGTCCCTTTCGTTTGGTGGCTCAAACACGTCCGCGAGGTTTACTTGTTCAAGATTTAAATTTGGGAATGGTTTTCTAGGTGAACCATTTATTTCTGTTTTTTGCGATAGTCAGGATGCTTCCGATACAAAAGGCGAGGATAATATTTTATTGGATGTGATTTGCAACCATCGTTCTTTTTATTATGGATCCATCGATTTACGAGCCGCAAAATTTATTTAAATATTTGTTGTGAAGTTTGGCAATGTTCCTTTTTATGAATTGTAAAATAATTAGTCTTTGCTATTTATTCAATTGTTCTTTTTGGAGATATGAAGTATTTTATAGTTGTCTTGTCCATAATAAAGAGATTTAGGGTGCGGTTTTGTTTCTGTATACGAGGGTTATATCTTCAATGTGTAAATATTCCATTTCAAGAATTGTGAAAGAAATCCTTTAAAATGTTTTAAATTATTTTTGGAAGAAACATTTTCTGGTTTTTATGTTATATTTGGTATTTATATAATCTTCGCCATTGTCTCGTTTTAGACGAAGATGAAAGCAGTGTCGGGCAGCTTACGAAATATAAGCAGGAGTGCGAGATTAAGACGTCGTGGTTAATGACGCGCATTTACATATGACAAATAATATCTTCTTTCTTGGGTTCCTTATTAGCTTTAAGGATTTTTTTTGCTTTAAGGATTAGTTCCTTATTATTTTTTAACTATTTCTTTATATATATTTTCCCGGACGAATTTGTCGCCTCATATTTCTTACGAATCACTTACCCAAATCTGTCCGAATTACCCGACCCTACATCCAAAAAATATAATGGCTTCATTGTTTTTTTAAATATTTTTGGAAATTATAATTATCTATCATTATTTTTTGCAAAATATTCCGAAATCGGTTTTCGTTAAAATCTATTTGTCTTTGCATATATAATCATATATATGTCTATTTATAATTCTTAATTAATATTTATTTATTTCATATTCTTTACCATAAGCTTCATCTCGCACACTACTAAAAAACAACGAGCCCCCAAAAATATAAATATTAAATTAAAATAATAATCTATAATTCAAAATAATTATTTTAATTAAATTATATAATATATATTCATAAGTAATATAAAAAAATCATAATTTATAGAATATTATATATTTATATATTAAATAAATAGATTTTAAATATATATATATAATATTTACCTTAATATAATATAATTAATTATAATATATTAAATAATTTTATATATAATAAATATCTTAATTATTTTTATTAATATTAAATATACAAAATACAATAATTTAATATATTTATTGTATATTATTAACTAATATATATCTATATATGTTTAAATTATTTAAAATAATATAAATACCTAATAATTTTAATTATTTATCTCGAATCGATAATTAAAATATAATCCATTTAATCTCTAGAAATATTCCTCTGTTCCGTATTATTTCCCCCCCCCCCCAATAAAATCCTCCAAGATCCCAACACCTACGGTCCCGCCCCCACCCCGACCCCCCAAAATTCGCATCCCGACACCCCGGCACTCCCATCGGCAGGACAAGCCAACCCACAACCAACCATAAGCCAACCCTACACTAACCCCAAACCAACCCTAAACTAACCCCAAATACACCCGAAACCAATCCCTAAACAATAAACCATAAACCTAAACCAACCCTAAACCAACCCTAAACTAACCCTTACACCCTAAATATACCCTAAACCAATTAACAACCCAACCACAGGACCACAACCACAGGGGGGGGGGGCCCCTGTCTGACCCATGACCATTGGGGGGGGGGGGGTGGCTGGCAACGCTGCACCATACATTAAATATATACATATATATATATATGTATATTACAATTTATATATATATATAAATATATTAATACAAGTTTCTATTTGGAAGAGGTTCCAGCCGCTTTCTTTATAAGAGAGACAAGACATAAGAAAATATTCCCAGCATCGCAAAAGCAGCAAAGCACGTGCTTGAAATCCGGGCCTCAGTAAAGAGCTAGCCTTCGCGATACATTCATGTAGATTAGTCTAGAATTTGGGTTTGCCCAATTTGTATGAACGATCTCGCGGGGATCCTGGACCTCCAAGGATCCTGTCACATTCCTTTGGAGTGTGGCACAAAGAAATTGGCTTTGCAATCCTGTACATGAATTGATTCGTGCCGGGTCCGGCAAATAGTTCTTGCCGCAGCATTGCAGTTCACGTTGCCCCGCTCCAGCGACATGCTGCTTCACCACTTGCTTGCAAACAGATGCTCATGTTTCTGCAACGTGCTAAACTTACTGCAAGGCTGAAGATTGCTGAATTCAGCAGCCACGGTGCTCGCAGGAAACAAGCCGCTCAGGGCGCTGGCCCCTGCGGAAAGAAGCCATGATTGCACATGGCCACGGTGATGTAATTACAAAGCCGAAAGCAACTCCGCAAGGTTAGGTTTCGAGACCGAGCCAACCGAACCGTGGCCTCCCTTTCGCTAGGACTATTCTAGGGCTTGATTCCCCATTCTTTTCAAGCGGCGTTCTTTCCCAAAACCGGCCGTTTTCCCTGGGTTTCCGGCCATTTTCTAGAAAGAAGGATCCCTGGAAAGAATGGAGCTTGAATCTCAAATTCCCCGAGCCCATGAAGACATGTTGCTTTTTCGAAATGTACATCTTCTGCATCCGTCCCATGCTCCCAACGACGGGAGCACACAATGCCCGTGGAAAGCCACGTGCGGATTCGGCCTGGGCCTCCCGCGACACGCGGGCGACTTCCGGCAGCCCGAGCTTGGAGCAGACTTGCTTCGCGAAACTGCCTGGACGCGGCCGCGCTTCGCCGTCTCGCCGGGAAAGGATGTGCGCAACTCTCACCTTCAGCTTCCCTCCATTTGGTGGTTTGGAGCCCGGTGGTTTGGTCGTGAAGGACAGTTTCCCATTTATCCTCTACAAGAACTAGGGTTCGAACTCAAATCCCAACATTGGAGTTGTGTCAGGACATTGGGAAAATGACATCAAATAAATGAAAGAGATTCATGGTGAAAAAACTTATCCAACTTGGGGCGCCCTCAGTTGAAGGCGGTGTAAAGTCAGCCACCATGAGTTTTCCCAAAGAACGCACAAATGCACTACCAGTCAGTTCATGCGCGCTAAACCCATCCCATCCGCAAGCCCGCATGAGCTCGTGCGATCGAATGCGACCACGTTTCAACAGGATCACAGCCGAGCAGCGGTGTTCCATAATGAATGCCTCCAAGTCAATGCTCTTGGCGGCTCCTTTCAATCGATCCACGCCTTTCACCAATTCCTCCTGAGGCGCAGGCATGTGAGCAAGGTGTAGGCATGGAGCAGCCACAGCAGCTGACTGTTGACCCAGCTAATTACATAGTATATGTTGCCATGTGTCCTCAATACGAACCTGATGGCAGAACTGCGTGAAACAAGGCAGGGGCATGGAATGCTTGCAGGGGCAGGGACGTGGTAAGTGGGTACTAACCATGGCTACCACCCACTTACCATGAATGTAAGTCTAGGTGGGTTATAACCAGGCTTACTAGCCACTTACCTGACGTACCCGATCGCCCCTTTACAGTAAGTACCCTTTGGTGACACACTGGCTTCTCAAATGCTCATGTGCCAAAGGCTCGGCAGTCAGTTCGTTGTCACCGTCATCCAGCAGCTTGAAGAGTACGTCTGGATCAGCTACAGGCAAATCCTGCGCGGCCAGCCATGTCCTGCCAGGCCACTCAACCGGAGCTGATCCTACTTTGGCCATCCGCAGAAATGATGCAACTAGGTGGCCTTCCTTTTCATCTTCCTGGCAAAGGGGACTTGCCCGTTTTGAAAGGTTCCCACATTAAATTCGAGCATGGTAGAGCATGCGGCAGTTGAGCCGGTCAGGCTGTAAGGTTCAGAGGCTTCAGGCGCCTTTCCGTTGGGTCCTGCCTTTTATGTGGAAGGGGCCCAGCCGTAAGATGACCCCTTTGATGCCGATGCCGAGACTCAAGGCAACACCTCGGAGCCTCAGCCGGCTTCCACAATGCAAGCAACGCAAAAACACACGGGACCCCCTAGCAATTCAAAAAGTGGCAGACTTCAAGCAAGTGGTGCCTTTTCCTGAAAGCAGCGTTGCTGGTACGGTTGAGACCCTCTTGCAAGTAGCCCCCCTACGGAGTCAATACATTACGGACAGGCAAATTGCATTCCCCATTTGCCGTCCTTAAAGCTTCCACCGCGCGTTCCAATGCTTGCTCAGCATCTCACCCAGGCTTTGGGAATGAACCAGAAGGGGATGGTTTTTCTTGAGGCCATCCCATTTCCCATTCCCTGCCTATCAAACCAGCAAGAATACACGCATTTTGTAAAAGCTTCCCAGGTTTGGTGGCATCGTTCACTGATTCCCGAGCCAGCAAGAATAAGGCCATGGGTCAAAATCCCGCACCCCCAGTGAACATCCCAATCCCCACTAAAATGCACTAAAATGAGTGGTGAATTCACCTACCCCAAAATGGCACCGTTGGCTTTGATCCACAGCCATACCTTCCGATCTTTCACCAAAGCTTTCCTCAAGCGAGTCCTAATCTCCGGCATGTCGAAGACGCGCCGGAACTCCTCCCGGTCCTCAGCGAAGCGGTGCCCCAAAACTGATCAAGGTAAGCTTGGATACGGGAAAGTCACAATCAAAACCAACTGGTTGTGATCCGGATCTTCAGTTGGGAAGCATGCAGCCCGGTGCTCAACTTTGAGGTTGGTCGAAGGAAAATGGTTTGCACAGAATTGTAGAATCAAAACCAGGGATCAAAACCGAGAGAATCGCAGGAGAATCCCCAAGTGCAGAATCAGAAAAAACAGGCGGCGAAGGGGTTTGCACCAATTTATGGCCGGGGGGTTCTTGCTTACCTTCATCCACACGGGTTTTCATAGGCTCAGGATGGCTCAGGATGGGATTAAGTTTCCCAAAGCCACGCTCTCGAGCTCGCACCCGGAGTGGCCAATCCCCGAAGAATTCGGTCGATGGGTCACAAAGGTTCGGCGTAGCTCACAGTGCGTGCAGATGCCCATGCCCGGCAATACTCCACAAGAACCCAGCACAGAACCATGAAAACAACCCCCTTTCGTCTGCAAAACTCATTTTGATACAGTATGTCCATTGCTGAACTTGAACATCGGAAACTCAATCGAGCCCGGGCGCTGCCTGAACCCTTGCAATCGCAGTGCGAAGAGTCAGGGGTCTCATCGCTTTTAAGTTAGATGGCAGTCTGGAATTCATTCGGGCACCTAGACCGTGATGATACCATGATGCACAGGTCTCTAAAAAGAACGCAAATCTTGCTCAATCCCACATGTCTCACCCAAACCTTGAGGACTTCACCCGGAAAACGGATCGGCTTTCCACGAGCTGCAGACGCTAAGGCCAAGCCATCCGCCGCTCTTACGCCGCTTTGTAGGGAATGTGGTATGACAAATCCAGATCTCAAGGTATGACTCACCCATTCGGATCCCCCGCAATGCAGTTGCCATGGCATCAACGGGGTGGAGCTGTGCAGCCGATTCTCTATGACTCCGTCTCCCGACTCGTCTGCAGCTTCGAAGAGTATCTTCATCTTCTTGGTGTGCAGGCGCCGCTCCCTTTCCTGCGTCAAACTGCTTGAGGCGATGAGCCACGTGCCGAGTGAGTATATCCCTGGCATCGCCCTGGAATAGAAATATGCTTGTACCCTGTGTACTGATGTATTTGGGTGCGTGAGGTAATTTTGCAGGGGTGGTTGCGTGGCAGCCTGCATCGAATAACAATATACACACAAACGCACACGTCGGCATAGATTAAACGCCTCCGAAACATGACGAGGACCATTCACAAGGACACGCGCTTCATCAAATCCTAGCACCCACCCCCCGCTCGCTCACAGCCTTCTGCCGCATCATGACGGTGTCATCGGAAGCGGCAACTTTAAAGGTCTCTTGCATAAAAACCGCGTTGATGATGCCCACGGCGGCAAAGCCAACCACCAGCTTGTAGGCCACGTTGAAAATTGCAAAGTATTCCTGGGCCGCCGGCTGCGAATGCAACACCCGCCCAGAGACTCTCGGCTGCGAAGCAAGCCGGGCTTCGGAAACGTTCTCGGAGAGGGTGCGCCCGGCGATGGTCCAGTTCCTTCAGCGCGGATGGGACATCATAAAACTGCGCTACCCCTTTGTTTTGTTATTATTCTTCTTCTTCATCTTCTGCTCCTTCTTCATCTTCTGCTTATTCTTATCCTTCTTCTCTTTCTTCTGCTAGTAGTTCTGCTGCTTCTTCTTCTTCTTCTGCTTCTTGTCCTTCTTTTGCTTCTTCTTCTTCTTCTTCTTCTTCATCTGTTTCTTCGTCTTCTTCTGCTTTTTCTTCTGTTTCTTGTTGTTTGTTCTTATTATTATGCTTCTTCTTTATCTTCTTCACATTATGCTTACTCTTATCTTCTTCTTATCCTTCTTCTTATTATCATTCTTATTCTTCTTTTCTGCTGCTTATTATCCTTGGTCTTCTGATTGTTGCTCTTCTTCTTCTCCTTATTCTTCTTCATCATCTTTTGGTTCTTATCTTCCTCTGATCTTTCTTCTGCTTCTTTTCATTCTTGCTCTGCGTCTTTTCCTTCTCCTTCTCCTCCTGAATAATTGGATTCGATGAACCTGACTCCCCTTCACATGAAGAGACCCTGGCTGGCTGGGCCAAACTAGCCCGATTGGATACGAAACAGGCAGTTTTTGCTCCGAAAGGTGTTGACACCCAACAGAATGAACTAACTAGGTGTCAAATCCAGGCATCATGAATGCCGTGCACGGTCTCTGTCCATCATTTCTTCCAGCTTTGGCATGCACATAAGCCAGTCGCTCAAAGGCATCGCAGCCAAGGCTCGCCAGCGTTAGCTCGAACATGGTAAACATGGCCCTGGATGCTGTACCAAAGTACTCGAAGACCTCCACTCTCTTGGAAGCCTTGCGCACGTGCCTTTTCAATGCAGCTGCGCATGAAAGAACGGACCCGAAGAGCTGAGATTGGCCGGTGAAAAAGCCACTGCCCTGGACATGGGTCTTCAAGGCAGGCAAACGAAGGCCAGTGGCATAGGCCATTTACCGTTCGTCCTCACAAATTGCCAGTAAACCGATGCGCGCGCGAGAGTGCTCAAGTTCTTCCTTGCAAGCCTAGGGAAGCAACATTTCTTGGGTGCAATCACGGCATGCCTCATGCTTCTGGGGTGCTGCCCCCATCCACACGACATAAGCAACCCCTCTCCATCTTGTCAAATAGGCCGATAGCTGCCCCAAAAGCATTCGCACGCATGCCTGCAGCCCAGCTACTGGAACTTCGGAATCCTGGAAGAAGCCTCCAAGGATTTGGGTCAAGGACAGCGCGATAGTCGTCTGAACCACAAGCAATAGCCTCGGCTCTGGCACAGGTTGCTGACCGTTGCCTTTCAAATGGAAAGTGTTCACGTGCCAAACTGTTCTTGGCTTTGCGCGCAATGCCCACCAAAGCCCCCCGTAAAGGCGTCCCTGTCTGCCAGCTCGGCAACCTTTCAAACATAGATACTTCGGGGGCCTAGAGGTGGACCTTGTCAACCTTCGTGCTTGAGGACTTGGGCGAGGATGTTCATAGGGAAGCATTGTGCAGGCCAAGGCTAGACTAGCGCCGAAAACAGCTCAATGCGCAGTTCTGAAGAGTTCCTTTCTCATAGGGCCCATGATTGAATGAGCAATGAAACGGACAGGAAGCGCATTGCACGGAACAACATCGCCGGTGCTCCCTGAGTAGCAGTCCTTACCCATCGCCATGCCCTAAATGCAACTTTGCGCCGTCTGGCCCTCCGCCCAGTCACACGAAGGACCAAAAGAGGATGATAAGACTTGCGGACATCGCCGTGGTCATAATGTACCTCAAAGGCGCGGCGGCAAGAAAACAAGGTGCGACGTGAGTAGCCGGAAACACGCAAGTGGACACTTTGGTAGAAAGCATATGAGTAGCACGGCTCGTTTCAAGTCTGGCAAGCCATGCCACTTGGAAGCATTGCTCTATGAACATCATGAGTCGATGCGCAAAGTACATGGAAAGACAGCTAGAACCATGCGTGAAATACGAGACACTTCGTGGGCATGGGTCCAATCACCCTACCATCCTGGACATTCCCGGACCTGAGCTTCATGTGTCGGAGTATGATGGCTACATGGGGTTATAGTTCTTTCCTTTGGTCGACTTTCAGGGTGCATGTTACTTCCAGCTTGGAGTTTGATTTGCGCTTCATATGCCGCAATATGGATGATCTGCGGACATTGTTGGTAGAAAATCAACGCTGCTAGTACGGCTCGTTTCCAGCATGGCAAGCCATTGCTGCTCTAGGAAGTTCATAGGTTCCTCAGAATCCGCATCAACGTCTGCTTGATGTCGGTAGACTGCGCTTCTCTCGGATTGATAGATGACAACGCTGGTCTCTTTTGCATCCGTTTCTACTTTCAATGGAAGCACAGGCACAAGCCTCCACCATGGCTGTGATACGCAGGTGTATTCAATAAGCGGAGTGCAAGTGTTCAGTCGGTCAAGATTTATGGGGCTCAAAGTCGTCCATAGATAGGTAGGTGTTCAGGCCTGATGACCCATTGAAGGTTCGGCTGTGTTGTCGTCGTTTGTTTGGGACCTGAACCCCGGAAGCCTGACAAAGAATCGGGCATTGACACGTGGTAGACGATAGTATACCACAGGCCAGCACTGCGAGCAACGGCAGGCCGGACATGTCACACACGCATGTGCTTGCACATGTGCTGCATGATCGGCCACCTTCCTGTTCCCAAGAGCTATGTCTTGCTCAAACACTTCACTAGTTTGATTGCCGTACTTCTTGTTGCTGGTTGGGACGACATAGAAAGTTGCCAGCCCAAACCGAGTTGGTCCTTGAAATTCGACTTCCATCTGAAGTAGTTGCGTGGATGTCTCTGATGACGCCGCCAACCCAAAACAAATGATCCTGGTGATTCTGTTTTGGCTGAAACTGTCCATTCAAATCGAAAACGGCATGCCCTGATGAGGGTCTACTCGTTGTCCCTGCGAGCCAGCACATGCGTAAAAGGGTCCAAGTTTGGACTGCGGCCCATGTTGCGTATTTGTTCATTATCCTTACGGTGCTTCGTGGCTTTGAGCAGGCTTTTAGACTCTTCTAAACATGCGCTTGCCCAAATGCCTCCTGTCAACCAGGCAGCACAGGCAGGTGTCCAGCTCGAGATAGATGGATAACGAATATGGCGCAGTTGCAGGTAATAGCAAGCAACGCTTGCGGAACAGCAAGGCAAACAAAAGAAACAAGTTCAAAGGCTCATGCGCCACACAGGTGCGATTCTCGCAAGAGCAACCCGTTTGCACCTCGGGTGCTAAATGGCTAGATCTCGGCGAAGGAAAGACCTGCATAGCAGGCTGCAGCAAATGCGCCGCAGTAAGGCAGGCAACAAAGGCCGTCGCTTGGAAGCAATGTCAATGTGGTAGCTTCGCGGCATGAGTCAAAAATCTTAAGGTGTCAACCCCGGATTCAGAAACCCTGTTTATTGACATGGGGGTGGGGATGTTCCCCTCCAAAAGTGAGAAACCTCCACTCAACCCAGGAACACCCCCATTAAGAAATATAATTTATTCATCCTGGGTTGACATTTTCAGTGGCGGGTGGCAGCGGACTGCTTTCAAGCGCAGACCCCACCAGAGCCAAGTCATGAAGGTTTGGCAAAGGGAAGAGAAGGGCCTCAAACTGTCTCAAACTAGGACCCAAGCATTTGCCTGAAAACACTGTATTTTGGGGCGTCTCAAAACTGCAGAAACACATGCATGGAAGCCAAGTCTCCCAATGCAGACCGTGCCACAATCACAAACTGGCGTAATAATTGCTGGAAACATAATTGATAGGTAAGCAGCTCGGGCGTGCGAGCAGGGCAAACACTGTAATTGCATTCCCATGCAGAAAGCGGAAAAAATGCAACATCTGCAGAAGCAAAAGAATGGCCAGGACCCGACAGCGAGGTGACTGAACCCATGCAGCTCTCTATTGCTGACAGGGTGTTTCGGACACCTTTCATTGAGTTGCGCAAAGAGTGGACAAAAGCCCGCAGGAAGCTTGCAAGCGGTCCAGGAGGGGTCGAGCCTCTTGGGAGGGGGGTAGATTGACTTTGAAAGGAGTGGCGGGCAAACTCAAGTGAGCTGGAAAGCTAGCTTTCGTGAACCGGCTCAACATGGCCCAGTGAGCGACATACATCAACACAACTGCCGGCCGTCCAACTGAGCGCTGGGTACTCTGGGCGCTCGGATGCGTCAAGCATCTTGCTCAATCCTATTTGGCAACTACAACTGAACACTGGCGTGCAAAGACCCAAAGGTGGCTGAGTGACCTTTGGGTCACCAGAATGCCCGCAACAGGAATCAACCCCCCCGGGTGCAGTGCCCGAAAAAGCCCTTTTGCAAGCCGTTGCAGCCGAAGGTGCAAGGCATCAAATCCTTGGATCGTCCTGATGATCTTCGCCAAACGAAGCACTCTGGCCAACCGCAATGTTCCTTGGCATGCAAGAATTCAGGTTCTGAATGATGCTTTCTTCGTATAAGCTTGTGCTTGTACCCTGGCACCTTGTCATCTGTTCCTGCCAGTCTCTCCTCTCCTCTCCTCTTCTCTTCTCTTCATTTATCTTCTCTTTTCCTCGCCTCCCCTCTCCTCTTCTCTTCTCTTCTCTTCTCTTCTCGTTTCCTCTCCTCTCCTCTCCTCTTCTCCTCTCCTCTCCTCTCCTCTCCTCTCCTCTCCTCTCCTCTTCTCCTCTCCTCTCCTCTCCTCTCCTCTCCTCTCCTCTCCTCTTCTCGTCTCTCCTCTTCTCTTCTCTTCTCTTCTCTTCTCCTCTCCTCTCCTCTCCTCTCCTCTCCTCTCCTCTTCTCGTCTCTCCTCTTCTCTTCTCTTCTCTTCTCCTCTCCTCTCCTCTCCTCTCCTCTCCTCTTTTTTTTTCCTCTTCTCTTCTCTTCTCCTCTCTTCTGTTCTCTTCTCCTCTCCTCTCCTCTCCTCTTCTCATCTCCTCTCCTCTCCTCTTCTCGTCTCTTCTCTTCTCCTCTCCTGTTCTCCGCTCTTGTCTTCTCTCCTCTCCTCTCCTCTCCTCTCTTCTCGTCTCCTCTCCTCTCCTCTCCTCTTCTCCTCTCCTCTCCTCTCCTCTCCTCTCCTCTCCTCTCCTCTCCTCTTCTCCTCTCCTCTCCTCTCCTCTCCTCTTCTCTTCTCTTCTCTTCTCTTCTCTTCTCCGCTCCGCTCCTCTCCTCTCCTCCCCTCTCCTCTCTCCTCTCCTCTTCTCTTCTCTTCTCCTCTCCTCTCCTCGCCTCTTCTCTTCTCCTCTCCTCTCCTGTCCTCTTCTCTTCTCTTCTCTTCTCCTCTCCTCTTCTCTTCTCTTCTCCTCTCCTCTCCTCTTCCCTGCTCTTCTCTTCTCTTCTCTTCTCTCCTCTCCTCTCCTCTTCTCTTCTCTTCTCTTCTTCTCTCCTCTCCTTTCCTCTTCTCGTCTCTTCTTCTCTCCGCTCCTCTCCTCTCCTCTCTTCTCGTCTCCTCTCCTCTCCTCTCCTCTTCTCCTCTCCTCTCCTCTCCTCTCCTCTCCTCTCCTCTTCTCTTCTCTTCTCTTCTCCTCTCCTCTCCTCTCCTCTCCTCTTCTCTTTTTTTTTGGTGGCTGCCGGCTGCCCCACTCAAAATGGTCCAAGCACCAAAAAGGGTTCTTCTCTTCTCTTCTCCTTTGCTTTTTGCAGGTCACTGAACTGAGCTTCAGGACGATCCACTTCAGCGACCAGCCGGATGGCGCATTGGACTTCCCGGGCTTCTTGCAGCTGATGCAATGGCCGGGGGACCGAGCAGCCAAAACGAGGCTGCGTTTGCGTAGTCCATTTGCGATTTTGGGGTGTTGGTCAAAGTTAAGCCACCAGGAATTGGACCGGTTTAGTCAACTTGGTTCCATTTACCAGGGCAAGCCATTTTGGGGTTACCCTATTTTTGACCCAATTTGCTTCTTTTACATAGTTGTTTCTGCTTTGTTGTTTTGTTTTTTTTAATCTATCACTACTGGACATATTCGTTTCAGTTTTTTTCCAGGGGGAGGAAGCAAATGGAAGGATGCCCAAATTCTCCATGGTGGGCGGCTCTCCTTTAGCTGGCTGGTTTCTGGGGGACGAGCACATGAGCTGGGGGTTCTAGGGGTTGATTCCCCATTCTTTTAAGCAGCAATTGCTCCAGGGTCTCTGCCCCAGCCCGTGCAGAAAGAGCTGTCCGGATTGTTTTGGTCACGGCCATTTCTGCAGTCAGACAGGGTGTCCATGCTACCTTTATTTATACTGATTTATTTAATATGTTTGATATATATTTGTGGGAGGCGCGGGTAAACATCAACATGTCAACACCACGGAGTTTGACACGAACACACAAACACACAAAGACACAAACAAACACACATACGCACACAACCCAAGAAAATCAAAGCCAAACACCCATCATCTAGTCTGTGAATTTCCTAGTCCTTCCAGCCTCTGGAGCCATGATATGCGACGTTTTGCCTGGTTCTGAAACTAGGCATTGACCTTTCACATGCAGCCAAGCCTCGCACAACTCCTGAGTCCAGGTAATTTTCGCGGCTCAAAGTCAGCTCGCCCATCCACAGGAGGACCAAGGACGTGTCAAACCAATTTGAGATATCCCAAATAAATGCCCACCGGCTCCACACGACTCGGATGATGATCTCAACTACGTACAGGAAGCCAAATACCCAGTCCTGAGTCAGCTTAAGAAACCAGCCCGAAACGAGCCATCAGGGACAATGTGCAGGAAACCCGCCCCAACACCTACCAACAAGAAGGATTGTGAGATCTTCCTGCAGGCTTTCTTTCGCAGCCTTCCTAGGGGGAGTCTGCCTACCCAACTGTCAACAACAGTTGGATAGTGCACTTGCAAGCACGCAAAATTGCTAAGGCCCCCGCACACCCTACAAATGCTGCTTCAGCATGAGGCCACACATCACCTGGCTATGCACCAAGCAGTGGGGTACCCCTTTGTTGATCAAGCCTTGGTGCTGAATCAGTTTTGCCGTCCACGTGCCCTCGCCAGCGCCAAGGCAAACACCCCATGCAAAAGCAGGGGCGCAATCGAACCCAGGACGGGTTGTTGTTTTTTTCAACAAGGGGGGGTGGAACCCAGCCAATCAAAGACACCAAAACCTTGTTCAGTTCCTTTTCTAAGTGTCTCAACTGATTGGGGGCTGAAGGTGGAAAGGTCGACAGGAATCAGGAGCCCCCGTAGGTCAGACTCTTCATTGGAGTCGTGCCCTGAAACATGCATCTTGTTGATTCCCCTGATTGGGTTTCAGTCACAAGAAGTTCCTTTCTGCGTCCTGATTTCACCCCAAACGTCCTGTGGCATTGCATTCCTCGAAAAGTTCCCTGGGCCCAAACTTAACGAACGCTCAGGGCCTGTCACATCAGATTTTCTCATATTCTGTCAGATGGGAGGGAGCAGTCGGATCACAAAAGCAAAGCCAAATAAAGAATTTGAAGAAATGCCTGATTCGAGCCATTCTTGGTTGCCGTCCAAAGCACGAGCCGGTCTGGTGAAGTGGGGGTAGTTGAGCTCGTAGCCCCTTTGCAGGCCATCATATTGCAGCTCGAAGCCCATCCTCAAGCCAGGTATCAATCCACAGCACGTCCCAAAGTGTCTCAAGCATAAGCCTCAAACATTGAGGCAAATGGAAACCGCGGCATTCCAAGGGCCCAATGGATTTGATGTTTGCGCAAGGTGTTCGCAGAGAATTGTGTTCAGAAGTATGCCGTACGCCGGAACAATCAACAGGATTCAGCATGCAGGTGGATGGGGTGGAGGGGCTTGCATGGAATGCGTGAAGCGAGACCTTGCTTCAGGCGTCACAATCAAATAGCATAATCGCAGCCGGAAAATGGCAAGGAGTCCTGCCTGCCCATCACAAACAAAGCCACGCAACATGCGGCTTGAAGATCTTGTTGCAGGTCAGGGCTTGGTATCTCCAGCTTGACAGGCCAAAACGACCGTCTAGTTGGCCTTTCGCAGCCGAGGTGCACGATGGTGTTGAGAAGAATCACGATGCAAAAGAAGACGTCGAAATGCGTGCTTCCCACGAATCTACCTGCCACGGACGCTGGCCGTGGCTCCGAACAAATGCGTAAGGTGTCAATCGACGAGCTTGCAGCCGCTTCAAGGATCGAACGCTGAGGTGGTTCACTTAGTTGGGCAAGAGCTCGAGCTTCATGCATTTAAGAGGGACACACGTACCCACAAGCCACAAGCCTTTCTGGAGTTATGATGCGGCCAGCTGGTCTCAGTCTCGGGTTTCCTCTCCACATGACCTACTGCGGACCAGCCCAACATCCTGCCAAGTGTGCGCATTGCTACAGGTTCACAGCATTTGGCAGGTGTTTCCTGCATGTTCCCGTCAACCCCATGCCCCAAAAGTAGCCTTGAGACCCCAGTTTCCGACCAAAGGACACGCCTGGATGCCACACAGGTCTGTTCAAGGCCTCCGCCAGCTTCCCATTGGCTCTTCGAATGCCTCAGGCTGCGCTCAGCCGACCCCTTCGGCTGGCACGGGTCGGGTTGCCAGCGGTGATGCCGGACGTTGCTTTTTGGTGGAAACCTTCATGGCCCAAGACTTCAATGTGCTGCAGCCAGACTAACTTGTCACGCAGCGCTGCCTGCGTAAGCGCCTCTCTGCGTGAGAGCCGCTTGCCTGCAACCGCGTCTCGCGGATCAGTTTCTTGAAGCGGGCTTGTTGCAAAGGTACTGTTTGCTTGCCTCGCGCGCGTCTCGAACACTTCAGGAGCACGCGCTGGCAACTATGCAGTTGAGCGTGTAAAGCAACTTAGACAAAAGATGCGGCTTCAAATTGCACCCGGGGACCCTCTAACGACGCATGTAGATACGCAACAAGGCTCCACACTACTGGAACATTAGTGGGACACCACCAAAACGCCACCACGAACACACCAGGACACCGCCGGAACAGCGTCGGGACACGACAAAAACACCACCAAACACACACGGGACACCGGAAACACTGCGAAAACACCCTCAAGACACACGGGGACATTCCAAACGACCACTGAAACACCACGGGGACGACACCATCAAAACACCACCGGGCACCGCCAGGACACCACCAAAACACCACTGGGATGCTAGGATGCACGCACACTTTCCAGGCAATAGCTGAGGGAAGAAACGGTTTTTGCAACCGGCCGGGATCCTGATGATGTGGGTCGGCGGCCGCGCTGGCCCGGTAGCCTTCGGCTAAGGCTACAGACGCTCGCTTGCGAGCGCACCTCGCAGCTGGATTTACGTTGCTGACGCGAAACCGGCCGCGTCAGCACCGCTTTCTAGAGAACGACACAACAAGCAGGCACCCAGGCTTGGCTTCGGCACAAGCAACCCAATTGCTGGATCCTCTCTCCAGCTATCGTGCGATATGTCGAGAGCAGTGGGAATGAAAAAACTGATAGAGCTTCTTCAGGGCTTGCACGCAGCGCTGGCAATGCAAGTCATCCGGCGATGTTGAAAACGCAGGTCCAGCATCATCCACAATTTGGCGTCTTCCAACGAGCAGCGCTAGTTGTCAGCGGTTTTTCCAAGCATGCGCAGACGGCATCGCCAGCATCACCCGCATCGTAAGATTTCCTATCCACTGCCCAAATGCTTGGGATGCAGGTGACGCACGCGACCCTGGTGACGCTTGTCATGCCAAGGCGGGTGGGTGGCTGGTTAGGCAACACGACCCCTGACGATAAGGCGAAAGCTTTTCCTTGCCTTGGTGCTGGGCGCAGCCCTTGAATAAACAAACATGCGCATTGTGTACGCGCATGTGTGTCCGTGGTATGTGTATGCTTCCATTCAAGTCCGGCGGTCACACTCCCAAGAAACAAACCTCTCAGGAACTACAGCTTCGTACCTTGCTCCGTGGGCTTTGCGAACGCACCTGCAAAAAGAGGCCTCCCCCAACGCAAGGCCAACGAAGGACGGCGCCTGCTTGCTGGATGGTGTCAAGGAGGACGGAGGGCCTTCTGCTGGTTAAACTTCTGCCAGTTCTCTGTCTCGCGGGCTCGTCATGGTGGACGTCCTTTGCCGACCAGTCGCTTCTTCCAGCCCCCTGTTGGCACTCTTGGCAAATAAGAACCCCTGGAGTTGCTTAAGCACCACATGGAACAGGTACTTAGTAAGTGGGCAACAGCCATGGTTACAAGCCACTTACCATGGTCGTAAGACTCCTAAGTGGGTTATAACCAGGCTTACTAACCACAGTACTAACCACAGCACTAACCACTTACCCGACGTACCCGATCGACCCTTTAAGCAGGACCCATGAATCACCTTGTTACATTGCCAGTCTGCAGCTGTGGCTCGGAAGCCGCGGACCTGATTCCACAACTCCCATCTCCTTCTGGGAAATCCTCCTCCGCCGTCATCATCCTGACAAAGCCGCTCTCCAAACCGCTTCCCTTCAGTGCAACAAGGGCAGTAGCAGCTGAACAAACAACTGAAACCACCCAATGACAAGCTGGGATGTTGATTCACCAAGGGCTTATACACCAACTAATCAAAGGGACACCTGCCCTCTTCAGGTCCCTTTTAAAGTGCCCTTTGATTCCGTATAGGGTTTGCAACAAAGATCAAGCGCCAAAGCCAAATGCTACACCACAATGATGCGTTTCAATCAGTTTTAAACTCCAGCCGTCTACACACTGCGCAGTCCAGGGGCGCAGCGTAACATGAGTCAGCGTCAAAAATACTTGTCCGGGGTCCATGCATTCCGACATTAGGATGTCCGGTATCGTTCTTCGTGTTTTGTTTCAGGTTCTGGGGCATCGTTTGTTTGGACGTCCCGTATCTTTTTCGAGCAACAACGAAAACCAACACATGCATGAAACGCTCCTGCATAAAGTAAATCAGGGTAATTTTAAAGCTGACTCAACTATGGGTGCTCTGTACCGTTGGCAGGCGGCAAGGTCGCTGAAAGCAGGACTGTCAACAGCATGGCCAACGCGCCAAATAGCGAAAAGACCAAAGGTGTGGCCACCGCCCGCCGGCCATCGGCACAAGTCTGCCGAGAAACCCCCCCAAAAAAAAATGGCGCAGGCCAACTGGGTGCGAGCGGAGTCATCTGGCAATGAAAGGCCCTGAACATTTTGAAGCTGCCATCTTGCCCATGCCGCGTGATTCGCACACTCCAAGCTGCTTCAGTGTGGTTGCAATAGTTGAGAAAGCTTTACCATGCTCAAAGCAAAACCCTGAGTTGTTTCACTGCATAAGTTCATGACCTTCACACTCACCACTCTGCAGCCACCAAGGTTCTGGTTTCCAGCGCAAAATAGCAAGCCCTGCCTGGAAAGGGTAGTGCTGGTTGGACTGAGCCATCTTTTGTCTTGAGGCTCCTTGGATTCGTGGCCATGCTCGGGCCCTGATCGCAAACGAACGGCATCGACCGGCAACCCTTGCATCAGGCAGCCACTTTCGCTTGAGTGAACTTGAGTTGGTCTGAAGGACGGCAGTCAGTGCGCAAAAAACTAGTGGTTTCCCATACCTCTGGTTTGAGCAATAGTTTCAACAGGATCTGGGGCGCAAGTCTGTGCGGCTGTTTGTTGTGCTGCTCGCAATTCACACCTGGAACAAGCGCTCCCCGAATCAGTGGCTGCGTGGGGCGGCAGGAGGCAAGAAGCAAATATTGCCTTGCAAGTTCAAAACAACCGCAACAGGAGCAATCTGCCAATCAGCTCATCAGATCAAATAAATGGGTTGCCTCACCGTTTCTGGCTCGTTCAAATTGGGAACCCACTCAATTTGAGGAGAACCACCTCCATGTGGGTGTCTTTCTTAGGTTGGACGCCCGCAAAATGGCTTCGGTTTTCCTTTCGGCACAACGGGCTCCAAATACAGACGCAACCATTTCGCTGGCTTGGATGGGTAACCTAGGAAACCACCCGGGAAGAAAAAAAAACGGCTGGTTACCTACAATAAATAAAGTGGCAACGGGAATTTTGAAGCGAAACCATCTGCGATCAAGGTGCCGCAGTCTCAGCTTTCACCTCGTCACCTTAGAATGCGCTCAAGCCCGCTTCGCTTGGCGTGCCCGTTTTCCCGTGCTCCCATTTGCATGCAGAGGAACGACCCCCGTTTTGGTTGAAATTGAAGAGAAACCCAAAGGGATCCCCTTTTGTGAAACCCGAATCCCGGATCCCTAAACTCCCTGGAATTCCGAAGGGGATCAGCGCTGGTGGCTAGTCTCAACACAGCTGTGCCACTCTTGTGCCAAATAGCTTGCACAAAGTAGTTCAACGTGAAATTCCAATCTTGGTTTGTAATCTGTAGGCCACATCTGGCATAGGGACTTGTTGGTTTTGAAAAATCGGGGACCTGCTTCGAGGGTCCTGGCATGAGAGGCTCGATGATTGTGGGCTGCGGGTTTGTGAAACTGAAGCCACATGCGCTGCTTGCTTTGGGGAAAAAGGCTTAACTGACAACCTGCAAAGATCTGACCACCTGTTCTCCACGGGTAGAAACGACATACTATCTTAACATGGTTGGTGCACGCGCAGCTTTTCTACAAGGGGCTTCTCGAACACATTCTATGCACTGGCTGATCAAATCCATTCAGAGCCCAGTGACTGCATTTGCCGGTGTAGTAGGCACCCAAGGGAAGCACCCTTTCAAAACCAAATTGAAAATGGCTGATTTTCTACTGGCGACTGGGATCCACTGGGGAGAAGGGACCCAGCACACTCTCCCCATCAAACTCCGCTTTTTCCCGTGCCAAGGCACTCTCAGCGAGCTGGCCTGGAAGCGTGCAGCGCTTCCGCGGGACCTGCTAAGGCGCAGGTGTGAAGAATTCACATCCAAGATCCCTTCTTCATGTCTGCCACTCATACGTTGAAGCAGCGCTGCAAAATTCAAGGACTGGTGGCCTAAATATGTTTAACGGCTATTTGCTTTACCTTTGTCAACTCACTACGCAGTCTCAGTGCACAATCTTTCTGGGCAGTATCCTCATGGATTTCTCGCGACATCTCTCTTTAAAATCTTCCTGGCGCAACCGCTTCTGCGCGCAGTCTCGTTGTTCAATTTCAGTTTTCCAATCCGTCTCTCTGCTTAAGATCTCTCTGCGCCATCCTTTGTTGAAATCTCAAGCACTCATCTTTCTGTTTTCTCTCATGGGCAATTTTATCTTTGCACAATCTCTTCGGCAGTAATGCTGAGTAATCTCTCTATGCGCAGTCTATGTGAATAGGCCCTCGGTGCCGCTTTAGGCAACTTCTACGCGCAATCTCCGCGAGCAGTTTTTCCTCCACAATGAACCTGCCGAATGTAAGTGCAACGCGGGATCCGCACAGAGGGTCGCGCGTGGCCCTGAAAAGCAGCATTTTCGGTGGTTCTTTGAACATCGACATGGGCGATCCACGTAGGATCGACACGCAGAGTCTGCAGGGATCTGTGACATCTATCTGAGCGGTCATCTATCGGAGCGGTCTTGTCTCTGTGGGCACTCTCTCTGCGCCATCTCGCCGTCACATCTCTCTGATCTGCCCACCAAATCTCTGCAACATTCCTCTGTGCAACATTTCAGTACCGGCCAATATTTGGCTTGCTTTCGAGTTCCCTTCCTCTGCTAAGCCCGGCCCCTTGTCTACTTTTCCAAGTTGAGACATCCAGCTGACTTTGAGTCTTCCTTTCTCTTCGATCATTCCCACGTCAGGAAACATGCATACCTCTGCCATCTGCTTGACTGCGTCAGCCCTTCGGCCAAGGCACAGGAGGCTCTTCTCTCATACCTCGGAGTGCCAAGGGCCCACCATGTGCCAACCTTTGCACAAACAGAAGCAAAGGCAATCAGGCGTAGCGCAAAAAGAAGAGAGCTGCGAACCCTATGCAGGGAAAAGCTTCCAATGACCTTGAGCTGTGACTGCTTGTTGAGTAAGGTGATTGCAAGCTTGTTATAAGTCACCACCTCGTGAACTGCTAACTTTCCATGTGCACCCATGCTCCTTGGTTGCATTGGAAGGTGGGGGCACTGCTGTGTGCTAGTGCCAACCCGACGGTGGGTTCAGATACTACGGGCCAACGCCCTGGTGAAAGGCACTCGCAACAGCCCATGCGCAAGTTGAGGGGGACAGGACTCCACGCTGATTGTGTGCGAAGGGGTCGCTGGAAGAGCGCGCTGTCGCAAACGATCGGCAACTGTTGTGGCTCCCAGCCCTGCAAAATGGCTAGCTAATAGATGACCTTTGACCAGTTTGAGGCAACGAAGCAAATGCAGGCATAGTCCTTCCAGCAGCTGAAGGGTGCTCCCAAGCTGACCCTGTCAAGGTCTCGAATCGACATAGGTCCTGATGCTCCCAAAGAAGCCTTTTTGCATCTTTTTTGGAATCCAGCCCTCAAATGAGAGAACCAGGATCAACTCACTCCAACAATCAACATGACACAGCCTACTGTGGATGAACGAAATCCGGCACCACTTTGACTGGTGGAAACCATTCTCGTTGGCATTTACAGGGAAATCGAATCATTCCATGGTTTCTTGAAGTCTTGCGGTGTCTGAACTTCGAGAAAACCGTCCACAGGGTCGCCGTTTCGGCGCGACGACACGAGCGCGGCGTTGGTGCCAAGCCGAGGAGCTCTCGGCCGCCTCACCCACGTCAGGCACGCGCAGCACCTGGACGAGCGCGCATGCCCGGCTCCCGGGAAACTTCGGGCGCCAAGGTCAAACATCGGGTAACCCCCAAAATGGCTTGCCCGGGCAAATGGAAACAAGGGCAAAAACCTGTGGTCCAATTCCTGACGGTTTAAGGTTGACCCATTTCCCAAATCACATCGAGCCATACATCTAGAAATAACCAGCCCTAGAACAGAAACGAAACGGCAACATCCACATCCGGCAACATGCAGTGGGATCCAGTCAAAATGTGCCCTTCTGGTCCGGAGGCTAAGGAACTGCTTGCATGTTGCAGGCGTTCTGATAGAGAGTCGGAGGGGGCAAGTTGCAGCATACCTCCTGGCCATGTCCGGTTCTGGATGCCATTGAAAGCTTTGAGTCCAGGCCTGCTTCTGCCATTGAAAGCATCCATTTATGGGATTCCTACATGAACCTTGTCCACCAGGGCCGCTGGGGCGCCTTTGCGCTGAGTGAGTGGGCCCAGGCACGAGCAGTTCGCGGGCAAGAATGCCACGCTGTCCGAAGGTATCTTGCCACTTACTTGATGGATACTAAGCCGAAGAACAATCAGCACCAGGACAGGGTCCTTCCGGGCGAAATGCAGCTCCACTCCCTTCCTTTGAAATCAGCCACATGTTAAGCAAGAAGGACTGCGGGCTGCCTGTTGCAGGACATAGCGCCTGTGCCTGCAAGACTGTCTGGCTGACTCAAGCGATCAAAGAGCACGCGATCCGTCACCATCCTGATCTGGCACACAGCCAGTCAGACGCACGGGACGTCTGACACACCAGAGGTGCTGACGTGTCTGACACACGGCACTTTCGGCCCGCGCCCTCCCACCACAGCAACCCTTACGAGCTCCCTGGTATGCCAAGTCGGCCCGCTTTTGGAAAGCTGCCTGCTTTGATTCTTTGCAAAAGGGATTGGAGTTTGGCAGAATCCTACACATGCACCTGAACTCCCCTGGAAACTGGTCAGGAAGGCAAAGTTCTGGGATCTTTGGACGTCGGTATGTATACACATATATACAAATGTCTACATAAATATGTGTATGCATATCTGTATAAATATATATATATATATATATATATGTGTGTGTGTGTGTGTGCACCAGATCAGAAGTGCAGGCCTGGCCTCCATCTTGGAGCTCATCTCCTGCAGGATCAGGTCGTGCTGCGACTCTAATGCCTGCGACCCCCGGCCCAAAGCCAGTGACAAAGGCCACAAAGACTCGTCTTTCGATTTCCTCACGCACCCACCCCCACCCACCCAGAAAACCCGCGAAATCCAACGAACAGCGGCCTGAAAGGTTGTGCCACCGACACCAAGCCAGCATTTAATGAGAGAATGCGAGTGACCTTAAGCAGCCAAAAGCTGGCCATGTGCCGGGCTAGTTCTGGCAACCCAGCCTTCATCACGAGAGCTCGCTCATCCTGCAGGACGGACTGGAGCCAGCCTGAGGAACATGGCTGTGCAAAAACAACGTTTTCTGTAGAGCTAGGCCATATTATCACTTAGCCCCCGCGCCACCCTTGGCATCACAAAAAGCGACCCTAAAACCAGCAGCTTTCCACAACCAGGCTCAGCATTAGGAAACAGGCGAATCGCCTGCGGGGCACCTTGCCAAGCAGCGAGTCACCTCCATCGCGCCCTCACTCCGTCCGCGCTCCGCGCTCCGCGCTGCGCTCCCAGTGAGCCTGGCCAACGCTAAGGCCAGCTCCATTAATCATCTCCTTGGGTCTTTGAGGTTGGGGTTCACGGCTGTCGGACATCCAGAGGTTGGGCCTCATGGGACCCAATGCCAAGAGACAGCCCCACCCTGCCTTCAAAGCGCCCGGCTGCTGGCGTGCTTTGAATTCAATGGCTGCGAAGGCACTCTCAACAGTCGATGGAGCACATGTCATGGTCCAAGCCAGTCGGGAAGAACATGGTTCGAAACTGCCGCAAGTTCATCAACCCGCAGCGCTGCAGGTCTGCCATGATCGGTTTGATGGCCAGTTTTTGGGCTGCTCAAAATGAAGGGGTTGGCCAATCCTAATCCATAATCCTTATAAGCCGGTGCATAGGGGACCAAGTCTGGTAGCCATGTGGCTGGGGTTGCCGGTGGTCCAGGGGTCGAGTTGTGTCGGGACCCAAGACATGAAAGGCTGCAGCCAACAAGACCTGAGAAACGTCGCTGTGAAGCCTTCCTTGCTGGTTCTCAGCAGGGAATGAGAAATGGAATAACTGAGAAAAACCATCCCCTATAGTTTCATTTAAGGGAACCTCTTTCCGGTGCATTCCCAACACCCTGGGTCATCCTCTACTGAGCACCAGCAAGCCTTCTGAATCCGAATGCCTATAAAACTAGACGTCCGAAACTCCAAGGACCATCATGAATGAGCTCGTCAAAACAAGTGCGACCAGTTCTGCATGGGGGGTGGGGGAGTGCAAGTTTGAAACGACACAAAAATTGGTTGCCCTGCGGTTGAGTCATTTACCCCGGTTGAAACCAGCACCTCCAATGACAATCCGAGTGAGGACAATCTAATGCGCAAGCACTTAGTGGCAGCCTAGACCCACCACCATATTTACCATGCGGAGGCATGTTCTTTTAACCAACAGGGAAGCCACCATTAAGGGGCCTCCCTATTTCACACATTTGACGGTTGAAAACCAGGTGGGTTTGTCGCTGGAGCTTACCTCAACGGCATGAGCACGATAAGATGTGACCCGTTCTGGGAGAATACCTGTAGCTAACCAAGCTCTGATGGATGAACAAGCCTCTTCGTACGCTTCCTAAAGAGAGGCAGGCGGCCGAGAGCGCGCCGCGCCGGCGGCTGTTTTCTGTGGATGCAAACAGGTCAGTCTCTACTCATGCAAGCGCTTCAGCGTGTGCCTGCCAGGGGGCATGATCACATGGCGGCATTGGTGACAGCATTTGCAATGTGAGTTGCCTGTCTTACCGCTTATGCCCTCCATGCATCTCCGACTTCTGCATTCAAGCATGTCACCGTGAAATCTACCGTTGGAGTCGCTCCATCCAATGGAACTCGAGCCCGCGCCTTGAGGCAGCACCTGGACCCTTAGCCATCATTCTCGCCCTCCTCCTTTGATTCCTCTAAAATTCCCAGCTTCTCGCACACTTTCTCCTGGAACTCACCTGAGGACCACTGAAACGAGACCCCCCCCCAAACAACAACAAAAAGACGAGCGCCATTGTCCAAAGGGGCATTGTACTGTGTAAGTGGTTGCCTGGTTATAACTTTATAACTCACAGATTATCTCATCAGGCTTACTCTCACCACTTACCTGACAAACCCGATCGCCTCGATCGCCCCTTCAGGTGGACAATTGACAATCAAATGTGGACTCATTTTGACCGACCGACCGGGCCTGCGTCAAAGAACAACCCCCCCAACCCCCCCCCCCCCCCTCCGCGCCAAAAGAATGCCCCCCGAAGCAACCGAGACACGTTGCTCCATGATGAAGGCTGCAAGGTCAATGCCTTTGGCAGTGCCTTTGAGGCGCTCCACACCCACCACTAGCTCATCCTCAGACCAATTTTCGCTCCCCCCCCCTCGCCGGGCCTAGGGCCTAGGGCCTAGGGCCTTGGGCCTATGGCCTGGGCCTATCGCCAGAGATGCTTCGCGGGGGAAAACATATGGGAAAAAACGCCAAGCATTCGATGGACGAGATTAAAGCACCAAAACCCACCGTAGATTACATGAATCAAGCAGCAGCTGTCAATTCAGCATCTCCATCATCCAAGAGCTTCCACAGCACGTCCGGATCTCTGATGGGAAGTTCTTGCGCGGCCAGCCAAGTCCTCGCGGTGTGCCGTGCCTCCTTGCCTCTTTCTCACGGCATCTCGACCCTCGCTGAGTCAGTGTTTGGATCCAAACGTGCCATCAAGCATGGCAATACCAAATGTTGGAGCTGCGACAAGGAGATATCATCTGAAACACCCCCTGTCTGCAATGCAAGGACGAGCCTACAGCTGTGCGAGTCGAATTTGCTTTATCAATGACCACAGTTCGCCGTGCAGGTTTGTGGGCCTGGGACGCGTAGCCTAGATTCGCATCTGCAAGAGGGAGGTTTCGGCATTTCCTGGGGGCGCCATACCTGCTTAGGGAGCCGCCATTCAACACGGCACTTGGCTCACTATGCTCGCCAATCCTTTTTTCAGCGGTTTGGGTCATGTGAAGCTATGACATCGTGATTTCACAAGGCGTGCGATGGCAACAGATGTGAGGCATGGTCAACATTATGTTTGGCATCTTTTTGGTCCCATGTTAATTTGGCCATGCGTCGGGACCAAGATCGGTGGATGTGGTCAATTCCATTGCGATTTGCGTCGAAATCATGTGCTTTGCTTTTTTGGAAGGAATGAAAATGGACCACGTCTACCGATCTTAGTCTAAACATGTGAACAGCAGTAAGAAGACAAGCCTTTTACTCAGATAGCAAACAATGCCGTTCCGTAGACGTACCATGATTGCACAGAACTCATGAGATGTGTTTTCAATGAGCAAGAACGGAACCATCCCCCCCCCAACCCCCCTCTAAAGCGCAAAAATGGGCTCAAAGGATACTGAATGCTTGACGCCTTCTAAGATGAACAGAACAATACAGTGAGATATATATATATATATACTCAAGCAGTCAGAATGACAGGCGCAGAGACTTGATGGTTGCGCAGCTATTCCCTGTGAGAATGTGGGTAAAGCCACTGCGGAGTGCACAAGCAAAGATTTCGAACTGTGACAGTTGCATGCAGTACAAAGCTGTAAGGGTCCATTCAAGTTACCCCCCCCCCCAACCCCCTTTGCACCGATCTTGGTTCCGACGCACACCTTAATTTGCAGTGTGGGTGCTTACCATTGACTCAGCCTGTCGTTCCACCAAACGCCACCTTTTGCGCGCGCCTGATGTCCGGACTGGTCATAATCTCGCGGAACTCCTCCTGGTCCTTAACCCCACTTTGGGGACAGGTGCCAAACAACGAGCGAGGCGGACTATGGTCCCCAAAAGTTTCAAGCACAGAAACTGGACTTGGACCTGGAAATTGCCTTGAACATGGTCTGTTTTCTTTGTGGTGGTGGAACTGACAGTCAGAAAGGCAAGGTTCTCGATTCTCATTTTGACATCCCACCTACAAAGCAATTGGGTCCACTCCTTGAATTGCTAGCAAGGGGCCAAAAAGCCATCTCCGGATTCATCCGCTGCTGCGAACAAAGTTCGCATCTTCTTGGTATGGAGCATGCGGTCTCTTTCCTGGCAGGCAGGCGGTGGCACGCTGCAGCCTTGCAATGGTCAAGTCTTCTCCAGCTAAGCCTTCTGCTGCTGGTTGAGCCCACCTACTGAAAACGGGCCTTGTCATGATAAGTGTGAAAAACCATGCTACCCTCGAAGTCATTTATCCCTAGCTACTTGTATCCAAGGTTGTTCCTACTGCACAAAAATCCATTTTGCACCACCTAAGAAACCATGGGAAACCATTGTCGGTTGGCATTTACGCGGGGATCACCATTCCAGGGTTTCTGACCGGTGGTGCGAAATGGATTTCGTCCATCCGCGGTATGGCCCTATGGGTGCAAATGCGTTGCCTTCTGGCGCATCATGAGCTTATCATCGGAGGCGGCGACCTTAAAGGTTTCTTGCATAAAGACGGCGTTGATGATCCCCACCGCTGCAAAGCCGATGACCAGCTTGTAAGCCACCGAAAACACCCCATAGTACTCCTGAGCCCGCTTCCGAACCAAGGCGATGCTGTGGGTCAGACTATTCGAGAACCTCGAGAATAGGGTTTCAACGAGAGCCTAAGCTTTGCAGTGCTCTGAGCGAATCATGATGCTTTCAAGCACCGAAGCTCATGGGGGCTGGGGGGAGGGAGGAGGGGAGGGGGCCCCAAAAAACCCTAAATAAAGCCTTATTAAGGGCTTATTTGGGCTCCCTCCCCCTCCCCTCCCCCCCTCCAAGCCCCCATGAGAAGAGAAAGGTATTGCCTGGCCATAAGCCTACACCAACTCAGCTTCCTCCCAGTTGGTTTGGATTGGTTGTTTGGTGGTCTTCCGGGGTGGTTCGCACGAACCAGGGTTTCAAATCCCCAAATCAATCCAAACGCCCAACTCAGCGCTGCCAACTGTAGGGTGGGGAAAAAACACAAAAATAAGACGTGGGCTTGTCTCGAAAAATAGGCGAATCTTCAAAATAAATGGTTGTCTTCTGGCATCCCCTTAAAACCCCCAAAAAAGGACCCGGGCACCCACATGAAAAAAAAACACCCACGCAGTGAAGAACGTGAGCAACTGGGAAACGCGTCTGCCAGTGAACAGGAAGGAAACTACGTGACGTGCATGCGGCCAGAGGCACAGTGACGTTCTCCTGTAGGATGCGTGCTGCCGTCGGCCAGTTCCTTGGTAAAGGGTGCATGGATAGGTAGAGATGATAGAAAAGGAGAGAGAGTGAGAGAGAGAATTTAAAAAAGATAGATAGATAATAGCTAGAAAAGACATAGAGTGGACGGACGGACGGACGGACGGACGGACGGACGGACGGACGGACGGACGGACGGACGGCCGGACGGACGGACGGACGGAGGGAGGGAGGGATGGATGGATGGATGCATGGATGGATGGACGGACAAATAGATGGACAAATAGATGGATGGATGTGGATGTGGATGTGGATATGGATATGGATATGGATGTGGATATGAATATGGACGGACGGACGGAGGGATGGATGGATGGGTGGGTGGGTGGATGGATGCATGGATGGATGAGAGAGAGAGGGAGGGAGGGAGCGATGGACAGGATGGATCGACAAATAGGTCAAATTCAATTAGATTGGATTAGGTTGGATTAGACTGGATAGATAGCTAGTTAGACAGATAGATGCATCAGCTAGATGGATATATATATAGAGAGAGAGAGAGATGGACAGACAGACAGACAGACAGACAGACAGACGGACAGACGGACAGACGGACGGACAGACAGACAGACGGACGGACGGACGGACAAGACAGACAAGACAGACAGACAGACAGACAGACAGACAAATAGACACGATACAGGTAGATACATACATATATATATATGTATATATACATAGACATAGATCGATATAGGTAGAATACAGATGTAGATGCAGAGTCAGATGCATATGCATTCGCAGATGCAGATATAGGCATATTTGATATATACAAATGTGGATACAGATGCATAGATATAGGTAGACATAGATAAAAGAAGAAAGACACGTTTGAACAACATGCTGACCGATAGATAGATTGATTAAGCCGCGTGAACTTAGGTTATACTAGATCATATACTATATAGACTAACCTACGCTAGAGAGACTAATTAGACCAAACTAGTGGATGAGGTTAGTTTAGACTAGGTCAGGTTAGGTCTGACTAGATTATATAGATCAATACGTCTATATGTATACATGTGTGCATATGTATGCATGTTCTGGATATGTGTGTGTGTGTCTATGTCAATGTGTATATACGTATATATGTATATATGTATATATATATACATATATGTATATCATATTATACGTGTGCGTGTATAATGTCCGTTTTGAATGCGTGCGACACTTTGAGACGCCCCAATTCGCACGCCAAGCCGCGCAAGGGTCAGCTCGAACATAGTGAACATGGCGCGGCCAGTGGTCCCAAAATACTCAAAGACTTGATGTTGCTGATGCACCTGAGCCACGAATCCTCCGGCTGCTTAAGACCCCTGTAAAACAAAAACAATAGTGACAGGTTCCCTTTCAAAACCAACAGGGAACGTAAAATCCAATATTCTTAAGGGAATGGATGGAATTGTTGTGTTCAGTGGCGATGAAGCCAACTAACTGGGCGACACTCTGCTAACTATTAACTGCTTCCCGGTCTTTTCGTCAATTGCCCTTTGCTCAAAGCTGTCCCCTACGGTACTTGTGGGAGCGAATGTTGGTGCGAGACGAAAACATCTTCCAAACTGGGAAGCTTGGGGGCAACCAGGTGAAGGAAGTTGCCAGAGTTCAGGACCAGCCCTTCATGCCGGGGCCAATGAATCAGTGTTTGCCTGCCTTTGCTTCTCAAGATGACATTCGTTCCGCCGTCTGGCCCCCCAGTTATCCAGCTGAGAAGCAGGTTTCGACTTGTCCTTGAAGTAGGCATCGAGGGCTTGGTTCAATGTGAAGGCGATCAACGTCTGCACCACCATCAACAACCTCAATCCGTCTTTTCAAAGAAACCGTCTTTCGTTGGTATCCCCTCCAACGCATGGGAACCAGCAACGTCGAAACGGAAAATCTAAGCGGCCGAAAAGCAAACATCCGGGAAGGATGCAACAGCGGGTGGTGGCAACCCAGCCCAGCCGGACAAACCAAAAACAAGTAACACACACAAACACACAAAAAAAACAGATACACAGACATAAATAAATGCGAATATTACACAAGCACACAACAAAGCAAACAGACACACAAGCTTGAAAAAAATCAGAAACCAAAAACAAACGCGCAAACACACAGACGAAAAATACCAACACAACAACACAACCACAAAAACAAAACCCTGCAAGAGTAAATGCACAAAGACAACCACACAGAGACAGGCACAAAGAAAAACAAGGCAAACAAACACGTGAACACCAAGACAAAAACGCAACGACAAAATCCAACACACAAGGACAACACAGACACACAAACACAAAGACAAAGAAAAACACGCAAACACCAAGACAAGCACGCAAACACAAAGACAAGCACACAAACAGAAAAACTTTCCCAAAGACAAAAGCAAACATGCAAAGACGAACACACACAATTACAAAGACAACCGCAAAGATACAAACACACAACAAAAACACACCAACACAGACACGCACACACAAAGCCAAGACAACAAACACATAGGCAAACAAAAACACAAAGGCAAACAAAAACACAAGCATAAACTCAAGCGCAAGCACGCAAACAAAAAGACGGCACAACACACACGCATACACAAAGGCACAAACCACAAACAAACGTGAAACGCCACCCACATAAACAAAAACACACACACACACACTCTCACACCTGCCAAGGCTTGAGTGCCCAAGTTGGATGTTCCTTCGCACCAGGCAGCACAAAGGACCAGAACAGCACCGTGACACTGCCCTGCATAGCTGTCGTCATGATATACCTTGGACCAACGCGTGAGCGGGCAGGCGCTGCATAGCGGGGATTTGTGAACTGGAGGCCAAGTGAGGTTTACGTTGGGGTTTTGGTTTGGGGGAGATTTAAGAAGATACATGACACTAGCAAGCCAGGGAGTTGTTTGGTCAACTGAATGGCCAATGTCCAAGACGCACTCGGCGACTGGTATGATCTGAAGGCATGAAGCAAACAGAAGAACCTCTAATTAAACGTGACAGAATGTGAGGGCGGCGCGACCCCGCGATGCATAGTCTTGAAATCCCCGAAGACCAGCTTGGAGGCCCGACCCTTGACAAGGCGCACGATCAATGAAAGCAATGCGAAGAAAACGCGAGGTCTGGAATTCAGAACAAATGCAAATGCAGTTTCTCAAACTGCAGGATGCAGTTTGAAATGGTTTGCTTTTGCTCAATGTTGCTCAAACCGGTCGACAGGGGCTTGCAGCCATATGATGGTGGGGGTTCTTCCCCGATTTCATCCACTTCCACTCATGGAATAGTTCTCCAATGTCCAGCCATCCCGCGCCCCCCAAGTTCCCTACTTAAAGAGGCAGGGTACTTTGTAAGTGGCTAGCATGGTTGTAACCCACAAAAGCCACGGGGATAAGTCTCCGTTCAGTGGGTTCTACCCAGGTTGTTCACCACTTCCGGGACGTCTCCCATTGCCCCTCTAAACCGTCTAAACAGCGTCTTCCGGCTCTCTGCGTCAGCCGCGTCGCAGTGCGTCGAATCCCTGGATCGTCTTCACCAGCCGAAGGAGCCGCAGGACGCGTCCCATTCGGAGCACTCCTTAGTGGGCGCAATCAGCCTACAGCCAAACGGGCCAAACCCCCCTTCTTGAACCCGCGAGGGAAACAAAAGCTTGTGGGGGCTGGGGAGGGGAGAGGGAGGGAACCCAAATAAGCCCCAAAAATGGCCTTAATAAGGGCTTAATAAGGGTTTTGGGGCTCCCTCCCCCTCCCCTCCCTCCCCCCCAGCCCCCATGAAAAGCCAAACAAAAGCTTCCACCAAACGAAGGGCTTTACGCCAAGTATAGGCATCTTGTTCTTGGAAGGTAAGGTTGGCAACTCTGACAGCCAAGGAGGTATGCGGTTTGGCCCTGCTGCATACATACATACATTACATTACATTACATTACATACATTACATTGCATACATACATTACGCACGTACACACACTCATACATACAGTACATTACATTACATTACATTACATCACTTTAGAACTAATACGCGCATACATACATGCGTACATACATGCATACATAACATAACATGATACAACATAACATAACAAACATAAACTTAATTAACATACATCCATAAACACGTACATACACACACATACATACATACACACACATACATACATACATACATGCATACATGCATACATACATTACATTGCATTACATTACATTACATTACATTGCATTGCATTGCATTACATTACATTACGTTACATACATACCTACATACATACACACATACATTACATACATTACATACATTACATACATTACATACATTACATACATTACATACATTACATACATTACATACATTACATACATTACATACATTACATACATTACATACATTACATACATTACATACAATACAGTGCATACATACATTACGCACGTACACACACTCATGCATACGGTACATTACATTACATCACTTTAGAATTCATACGCGCATACATGCATGCGTACATAGATGCATACATAGCATAACATAATATAACATAACATAACAACAACAAACAACTTAATTAACATACATCCATAAACACATACATACATACACACATACATACAAACATACATAAATACATACATACATACATAACATAACATAACATAATAACATACCTACATACCTACATACCTACCTACCTACATACATTACATTACATTACAGTACATAACATTACATTACATTACATTCCATGCATACATTACATTACATTACATTACATTACATTACATTAAAT